TCTTTCCTGTCCCCTCCTCCAGGCTGTGAGCTCCCTGGGGGCAAGGCCTGTATCCAGCATCTCGCTGTGAAACCTGGGTGGCATGTGTCTGGCACAGAGCGAGTAAACATGCAACAATCGGGTCTAGGATGCTGGGAAACTGATCGTTCTCTTTTCTCTTTGTAAACAGTGTTTCCCCGCACCGTCGCCAGCCCAACCGGTAAGTCCTGAGCTCCCAGACAAATGCCCGTTCCCTTCCCTTAATGACGGTGGCACCAGGGAGGGCTGACGAGAACGATGAGGGGGATGGCTTCCCTAAGTATAGCCACCCTGGAAGGGCATCCCACTGGCGCTCAGGGGACAGTCCAGGTCCAGGCCCCCTCCTGTTGGATTTCTGTCTTGGGAATTGTTTAAAAATGTCCCCAGGCGACATGCCCTGTGCTCTGGGGGGCCTTCAGCATTTCCACATTGTCCCGACAGCAGGCTATTCCTGCGGAGGCTTCCTGTCTCGGCCATCGGGGAGCTTTTCCAGCCCGTTCTATCCTGGGAGCTATCCGAACAATGCCAAGTGCGTGTGGAACATTGAAGTCCAGAACAATGACCGCGTGACCATTGTCTTCAGAGATGTCCAGTAAGTGTGGGCGCAGAGCAGAATGCCTCGGGGACCTCGTCGATGTTTTAGGAGGGAACAAACAGTATCTAGCATGTTAGGAGAGGTGTTTGCCCTGGGGACATTTTTTCTTACAGGTTCAATTTTTGACCTGGCACAGAGGCAGCCCGTGGAAGTGGGGCCGGGACAAGAGCCCTGGTTTAAAGTCTCAGTTTGGTCACTAACTTGCTGTGTGAGCACAAGAAATCATTTACGTTTCCCGAACCTCAGTCAAAAGAGAGAAATGAAAACCTGCTTTCTTCCCCTCCCTGGTTCCCGGGAAGGTTGGAAGAGAGAAATATGTTTAAATACGTGGAAAATATTATCCAAGAGGGAGGGATTTTTGTTAGAAGTGATACCAGTGCAGAGAATCCTATTGAGAACCACGCCAGTTTTTAGAACCCTTTCCTCTCCACCCCCTCTCTTGAAGGGTGAGTTCTGGGGCTCAGGCAGAGGTATAGAAACCAGTGCTGCAGACATTAGGTCACCTGCTCCTCATCCAGTGAAGAGTGAGGATTATCGTTTTAAGCAGAGAAAACATCATCAAAGCCGCATGAATACATGCTCAGTCCAGGGGTTTGGGGGTGACCAAGCAGAGGCACCAGTATTTTCTAGTGTCCTGGAAGGAAGGTATCATAACTTCTTCTCTAACAGCCATCACTGAATAGAACAGTTTTCTTTCTCAATTTCTGTTTGCAGTGGCCTTGGGGGTCTCTGCCTTGGGGTTTTGCAAAAGATATAATATTATTTTTAATCTCGTAGTCATTACAATTCATTTTGGATTTCGAGAACTCTAGAGTTCATGAAATCCTATGGGAGAAGGTGCAGGTTTTCTTTAGCCAGCACCTGAATAACGACGGCCACCACCGTTTGTGACATTTTCTGAAGCACTTTTCCGTATGTTAGTTCGTTTGTGCTTCCTAGCAGCTCCCATCACTGTGCGTGAGGAGGATTCTCTCCCCTTCGTAAATAAGAAAACTGAGCTTCCAAGAGGTCATTTGCCTTGCCCGATATGTATCTATTTAATTATTTTTATCACTATGAGTTCATGAATATTTATTTCATTCTAGGGGAAACCGGGGTCTTTTTGAAGGATGAAAAAAATCTAAGGCAGGATGTCATCCTTTTCTTTGATGATGTATAGGGCTGTCAGGACAGGGGCTGTAGATGTCATATGTGTGGCCCCAAAAGGCAGGACTGAGGCCCTTGTATGGAGGCCCCGGGAAGAGGAATCTGTGCTCAATTTAAGAAAATCTATTATTTTCTTAATATTCTTAATATTATTAATAATAGTGTCAGAGTTTCTTGCCCAGAGGTGTGACCCCCACACTGATATCTGACCTCCCATGTCAAATCTTGTGTGTCTTGTCTCTGCAGGCTTGAAGGGGGCTGTAACTATGATTATGTAGAAGTGTTTGACGGCCCCTACCTCAGCTCCCCGCTCATCGCCCGGGTTTGTAATGAGGCGAGGAGCTCCTTCACGTCATCCTCCAACTTCATGGCCATCCGCTTCGTCAGTGATGGCAGCATCACGAGGAGAGGATTTCAGGCCGACTACTACTCCAGCCCTTCCAATGACAGCACCAGTAAGTCCTCCTCACGGGGGAGCCTTGGGAGTAGGGGAGGGAGCCTTACGGGCAATCTGAGAGCCTTCTGCTGCCCCGCCGCTCTGTGGTTGTGGAACAAGAAACTAGCAGCTTTGCCAGGTCACCGAGGCTTATCTGCTGCTAAACAGGGCCAAGGGCAATGGGTCATGGGAGGTCAAGAGCCAGAACTGGCCGTCGGGCAGTGTCTTCGCTTTACTGCAGTCGGCAGAGACTTAGTAGAAGCTGCAAGATGATGCTCTCTTCATAGAGTGAGATGTCAGTGCTGAGGGCAGAGGTGAACAACGAGCTTGAGGCCTTGTGACCGTCCCAGAGTGTAGGACACTGACCATGTCCTGAGACCCAGCATGTTTGGCTGCTATCTGAAGAAGGACTTAACTGGTCACTCAGCCAATTCCAGCAGAGACTAATGGCCACGATTCTAACTGTTCAATGGACTGATTTACAGACCGGCCAGGGACAAGGCACGGTGATGTCCGAACTCTCTCTTTCAGTCAGGATTTTAAGCATTGACCTGCTCCGTAGCTCAAGGACCTTATTTCACGACATCCCCACGATCCCACTGGGGCATTGCTTTACGAGTAAATGGTAACTCAGAAAAACATTTCACTCATTTCACATCCTGCCTCCATTTCTTCATCGGAGGAACCCCAAGTCCTCATAGGCTTCTCATGAGAATGAGCCTGACTTGGGTCACAGGGCACCCTGGGATTGTGGGGAG